TCTCTCTCTCTCTCTCTCTCTCTCTCTCTCTCTCTCTGACCTTTGAGGGGGTCGGGTCAGTGCCTTCTTGCTGGAGTAGTCTTCCGTCTTAGATAAGTTGCCTTCTGCCCTCCATCCCCTTATGGTTTGAAATATATATGTATACATTATAATAGATTCCATTGAAGCTCGATCCACAAAATTCTGCAAGTCTTCTTGTAAAATACTATATATATATCGTCACAAACAGAACTGCCCGGTAAACCGTAGGCAGAGAGAGAGAAGAGGACAACAAACGAGGGGCTGTGACAAACTGTTTCATCGGAGTCTCACCGACTCATCAGGATATGTAATACTCCTGATGAGTCGGTGAAACTCCGACGAAACAGTTTGTCACAGCCCCTCATTTGTTGTCCTCTTCTCCCTCTCTGCCTACGGTTTACCGGGCAGTTCTATTTGACGATATATATATAATCTATCTATATATATATAGTCGGTGAACCTCCAACAAAACAGTTTGTCACAAACCCTCCTTTGTTGTCCTCTTCTCCCTCTCTGCCTACAGTTTACTGGGCAGCTCTGTTTGACTCTAAATATATATATATATACCTACGGTTTTACCGGGCAGTTCTGTTTGTGACGATATATATCGTCACAAACAGAACTGCCCGGTAAAACCGTAGGCAGAGAGAGAGAAGAGGACAACAAACGAGGGGCTGTGACAAACTGTTTCGTCGGAGTTTCACCGACTCATCAGGAGGCTATATATATATATACGATATATATATATATATATATCGTCAAATAGAACTGCCCGGTAAACCGTAGGCAGAGAGGGAGAAGAGGACAACAAACGAGGGGCTGTGACGATATATATATATATATATGCCTATACAGGGTTGCCGGCGTTCGGGACGGGCCGAACGCCCGAACGTTCAGCACCCCCTCTCGACGCGTTCGGCTGTTCGGCCGAACGCAAAGCCAAAAAAAAAGAAAAAAATCCAAGAAATCTGAAATAAATATATGTTATGCAGAAGAATAAACTGAACAACATTTGCCTCAACGTTACATTCAAATTCTTTACCAAATTTGAAATAAAAATCAAATGCTAAAAATAAATAATAATAATGAAAATTAGAAAAAATAAAAAGAGAATGAAATTATTGAGTGGGCGAACACGTTTTTGACATCGCCATCTTTGGCGATTTTTCATTTTTTTTTTGGCTGCGACAAATGCCATGAAAACTTTTATATGTGTATCTTACATAATAGAGAATCTACCTAGGCTCCCAGAGTGGCCCGGGGTCACTTGCCCGGCCGGGCCAAAAAAATAAAAGTAAATAAAAATAAAAATAATATTTTTAAACATTTATTTTTATTTTAAAATTGGTAAAGAATTTCGATGTGACCCTGAGGCAAAAGTTGTTCAGTTTATTTTTCTGCATAACATTGTATTTTTTTGGATTTTTTTTTTTTTTTTTTTTTTTTTTTTTTTTTTTTTTTTCTGGGAGTTCTTGCACGGGCTGGCCATCCGGGATCCGGG